AATATTTTATAATGCAGTAAAAAATAAATTTTTAACTTGAAAACACTGGGAGAAACTGTTTTGCATTACACATAACTGTTTTATTTGCGTGGAGTGAATTAGGCTAAAGGATATTTTTACTATTATGGGAAAATTAATTATTAACATTTAAAAGTGTCACAATATATCAGGAAATTTCGATGTTTTCTGAGAATTTTGCTTCATATTATTGAAGCCAAACAATATTGAAATCTCGAGATATTTTTCAATACATAATAAATTAAAGCTAAAGGCAAATATAGTGAAATATCGATATTTTTAGCGATATATCGTGATGTTAGTTAAATAAGAATACCATGTAATGAATTTTTAATATTAGGGATGAATTAACGAGATATTAGTTAAGTAAAAATACCAAGTAACGAATTTTTAATATTTGGAGATGAATTATCATGATAGTAAAAAGAAAGTATTGCTCAAAATTACCTGGTCCTGGTACAAATCCTTATCTCAAAATTTGCGGATTTATAGGAATTTTCTGTCTTTAAATAATTCAATGCATTTAGCTATGCTTAAACAAAAAATGAGGACGAGTATATGACTAGATTAAGGGTGTATAGAACAGTGGTGGCACAGGGGATAGACCGTCCGCTTTCCAATGAGGTGAGCCGGGTTCGAATCCCAGCAATAGCTGATCGATAGGAACTCCGCACCCGGTTCGCACTGACCACAGTGCTGACGTAAATAATCCTTAGTGTTAGATGGACCAAGTTCCCTTGCCATCAGGCTACCCGTAGGAGGTTTTCGTAGTTTTCAGCTCCATGTAACACAGATGGGAGTTAGTTCCATCAAAAAGTTCTCCTCGTCGGCGAAATTTCTCCCAATACTTGATCCAGGAGTTCCCTTGTCTTCTGCATTATGTTCAAAATTACAAGACTATGGAGTTGAGCATTAGTAGCCCCAAAAATTATGTCGGCTGTTCAACGACGGTTATAAAATAAAATGTTAAGGTTGTAAAGAAGAAAACAATCTACAACTTTAAAATGTTGCATGTTGAACTTTTAATTCACAGACTGATATTTAATTTAATTCCATGCGATCATCATTTGCTAAATTGTTTATTAGTAAATGTTCGTCTTGCATGTTAAATACTAATGTTATTTCTTGAAAGGATTCTAAAACTACTTAAAATTAAATTTAGCTTCATTTGCTTAAAATAGCCAGCTGTTGTGATTAATTTTGCTCAGCAAATTACTGCGATTAAATTTGTTCAATTTTACTGCAATAAAAGCTTTCTAAAACAGTCGTTAGAGCCATATTTTAATGAGATCTCATTAAATCCGAATAAGCTTTGTTTCTTAAGAATCTATTACCATAGATAAAAAGTTCATCGCAATGCAGTTTTTTTTTTCTTTAAAAATTTTTTTAAAGAAATTATGACTTGGGTAAAATATTACTAAAAAAAATTCGACATCGTAAAGCTAATAAAATGCGATTTTAATGCTAATACTCCAAAGACATTAATATCAAAAATAACTTAAGCCTTCGGTGAGTCAAACGATAAATGCGACAAGGCTTTGAAAGTGTTCGGAATGATTAAAGCGACATCTGGTTCTCTTTTCAATAAATACTTTTGATTTTATTATGTTTTCAAATTTGCTGAAAGTGATGAAAAATTTTATCAAATTGATTTTTTTATTTTTTTTTTTATAATAAATTTTTTATAATATGTTTTTATAATAAAGTTCGTAAAGCCGCTAAATATTTCATTCTTCTTAATGTATGACCTTTAAAAGAAGAAATGATAATATGAAGTTATTTCATTTCCAGCTTGAATGTTTATTGGCATAGTTTAAACAATTTTTCGACTAAAAAGTATTTAAATTCAAAAAGGATGAATACATTTTCATTTGAATATTCATTTGCCAGCTAGAATACTTGCTAAAAGTCCACTAACAATTTAATGTAAAGATATTTTTTTTTATTATATAATTTTAAATTTTAGTCGTTTTTTTACCTTATTTTTTTAAAACAAACTTATTTAAAACAAACTTTTTTAAAACAAACTTACAAATTATGATTATTATTTTTGAAAATTTTGTCTCATGGTTTATTTCATAAAGTTTTAAATTGGTTAATTAAAAGTAATTCTAAAATCTTTTGCACTTTTATTATCGCTAAATTATGATTTTTCCCCAATTCGTTGTTGTATAATATACTTTTGAAAATTTCAATTTAACCTATTTTGATAACAATTTTAATATTGTTTATATAGCGTAGTTAATATAATAATAAATAAGATAGTGTATAATAGATAAGATAATATTGATAGAAATATCACTACATTTTATAAACTACACACAGAAATAACTTTGAAATCTTTAATATGAATTATTACGTTTTTAAATTAAACTTTAAACCGGTCAATCAATTTTCAGTTAAATCAGTTTGAAATGTCAGGTTAAGTTCATATTAAAACTATGTTAGCTCTGAATTTTCCGACTTTATTAATTTTTTTAAAAATTCTTCTCCGAAATTCTGTTTCTAATATTCTGAGACAACCATTGTTCCAAGAGAACAAAGGAAATTATCACTTAACGAAGAAACTTTTTAAACAAAATTTGTTATTAACTTCACTGTAAAACTGTTAACTTAAACTGTTTTTACATTAAATCATATTTGTTCCTCAATTGAAAGGCTTATTGATTTAACGAAGCATTAGTTCGTATATTTATTTTTAGATTTTTAAGCAGCAACTATACTGCGCAAAACATATAAGCACTCTAAAAACTCTCCCCCTTGATTACAGTCAGTGACCGTCAAGAAAATGTTTCACTCTTGTTCGTTGCAATTACGGGTATTAGACCTTCTTCTCTAAGACGGGAACTGGCTGTATACATTAACAGCCGATTTTCAGAATTTTAAGAAAATGCATTAGAGTGAGTCAGACAGATGAGGTTTGACAGATGAAAGTGCTAAATCTTTGTTATAGTCAAAGGTTTCATGTTATCCTTTTAAAAGCATTGTATTAAACAATTTGATAAATTTTAGTTACAATATAACAATCAATCTTATGAAATGGTAAATATCTTGGTCAAAATAAGAAACTTATAAATATTTATTTCAATTAATCATTAAGCAAATACTTTTTTTTCTTTATTCTCTTTATAATTAATCACACATTGTGTTTCCATTTACCCATTTTCTATTTTGACATTTTAGTCTGAAGGACTGCGCTGTAAGTACAAAAAGTGACGACATTGAATTAGTGTATCCTATAAATTTTACGTCATTTTTAAACAAATCTAATCCGTAAAGTATCCAAGCACACGTACAAAATCTAGATAAAACCTGCATGATTTATCATGATTATTTTCCGTTATCACAACCAGTAAGTCAAATTTCCTCACGAGCAATTTTTAACGCAATGTAACCTTTAATAACAAACAGTCCGAATCAGAAATCGCACATGTATCAAACTGCAAAAAATAAAACAAGGCACGCAGTGTTGTGAACACATTTATCTCATGTACCGTGTTGTTTGAGGAAAAAGAACAAAGTATCATGAGGGAAAAAATAGCCACTTTTCCCCCATCCACTTTCACTTTTTGACTAATGGGGAAATTCTTTGTCCCTATTATTTATTTGGGTCCTTCAACAAATAATTGGGCGTGTAATAGCAGTTTTACTCCTAGCTATTTATTGTTGCCACCTCTTTCCTTCACCCCCTTGTTCATGCCTACCCCCCTTGTGTCTTTGCTATTCATCTTCCACGGGAAGCCGTTGCTTTTTGATTTTTTTTTCCTGTTTAATTTTTATTGAGAAGAAAATTGGCTATAAATTGTGAGCCCCTATTTCTGTTCGCATAAAGGAAGCATATGTTTGTATAAACCACTTTAAAAAAAATCTTCAATATTTTTTTTTCTCTTGTTTCTTCGCTTAAGGAGAATAAAAGAGCATTGTTTATCACGGAAATGTTGAAATTTCTCAGTTTGTTCGCTGTCTTGAATGAATTGGTTGCGTTTTTAATTTTCGGGCTATTAACAAATCTTATACTGCGATAGATAATTGAAAGTTATTTTTTTAAAAAAAATTAAGATTCCCAGGTTCATGCAATCAAGAACTGCATATTGGTTATTTTGAAATTATAGAAAAAAAATATTTTACTTTGTTTTAGTTTAGCCCCTCATGCTGCTATTAAATAAAACATGATAGAAAGTCGAAACCTTCATTATCTGGGCTAAAAAAAATATGTAAAAATTGAAGATTGTTTAATGATTTCGATAATTTTCACCAAGGTGCAAAAGTCTGGATAAATTGGCATTTTTTTTAAAAAACAGAAAAGTTTATTATCTTTTTAATATGTTTGAAATGTCTGTTATGAAGCCAGGATAATTATTTACGGTAAGTTTGTATACATAGTTTAAAATTATAGCTCTGTCTCAAATGCAAGACACTTATACTATGGCCATTTTATTCACCTTGACGAAAAAGTTTTTTTTGTCAAAAAAAAAAAACTTTTAACAATCTATATATTAGTGGAAAAATATTGCCAAATAATCATTTTTCTTTCAAAATTTTCAAAATTTATTTGTTCATTTAAATCCTGATTTAATTGCAGTAAGTTAATAGAGATGGTTTAAAATTAAAAATTCGTTTTGAATTTAAGACGCTAAGACACTGGCTTTTTTATATTTCTTAATACAACCACTTCGAAAAATATATTCCATCAGTTTATTATAATTAACTATAAATTCCTTGGATATTAAACACCTTCGACAAATATACAAACAATCCCTTCAGAGAAAGCTCTCCATCGTATACATTCATTGAAAAAATATAGCTGCTGTCTTTCCGACATTAAATATTCAGGTCCCCATTCTCCTTTTCTGAATATTGTTTTCATATCAGTGGTAGATTCCCATCCACTCACTCGATTCATTCCTAAAATAGACTGGGTGGAGTTGAGCACCAATTCCATACAACTGTTTTACGAACGCTGAGTTCGGCCCTCTCTGGTAATGAATAGCTTATGGTCAGGTATAACTCAGAGACCCAGTATGCCTGCAATCGTGACAGTTCAGGTATGCAAATGTTTAATGGCCGCTATAATTCTTCCGCGTATAACTTCCCTTTTCCCTTATTTTCCTGATTGGGGTGGGTCCGCAGCCACAAACAGATCCGTAATTGGTTTCTCTGGAGGATCAAGGGAACGGCGTTCCGGAATTCTGTGTTGTGTTAAGTTTCTCCGTTGTTGTTTGTCCTGAGTGACTCGGCAATGAGACGATAACCGTTGTTGACTCGAGAAGTAACTGCGGTAATCAACAGGTTTGTCGTTCTGATAAAAGCTTTTGCGAATTGGGAAAGAATTAGTTGCGTTTTATTTCGGTGTTTGCTTCGTGTTGCGAGAGTGGTAAATAAACAGATGCATTTATGTAATTTTGTTGTAAGGCAATGTTTAGTCAAGGGCTATTAGAGCGTCGTTAAAGAAAAAAAATAATTGTTATTTTAAATTAGTAACTTGGAGAAAAAGCGCATTAATCCATTGTTATTTCGTATTTTAAGTTAAATTAATGCATTTTTAAATGTAATTCCTTTAATTTTACGTTTTTAACTTTATTATTCCGTCATAGATTTGGTTTTCATTTAATCATTACTTGTTAAATAATATTGGCTTGGCATTTAGAGAGGTAAGGTGAAAAAATTATTTCTAGCCATCTAATTTCCAGTTTATTTTGCATTGTTCTTTTTTTTCCAAAGTTTATAGTGTTTTCCACATTGGTGTTTTTTGTTTGTTTGTTTTTTTTGGAAAAAAATAACTGCTTTTATTTATTATAGGAGATAAATTTTTAAATGTCAAAAATGAAAATGTTTATTTTTATGATTTTATGCTGCGTAAGCACTTTTCAAGACTTCTCAACACATGCTATTTTATAAAATAAAAAAATTTGCAGCATTTTTATGTGCCGCTAAAAATTATAACTTTTAATTAGAATAGTAATACTTTAACTAAACATCTAAAACAAAATTTTTAAGCCTAAAACCATGGTTTACAATCCAACACACTTTTATCCTTGCGTGATTGAGAAAAATTTTCTCATTAACTAGATAAAATCTATAATTTTAACTATTAAATGCAGGATTAGTTGAGACATAGGCGGTTTCAACTCCAATTTTAAATCAAGCTTAATTTTAGAAAAAGTTTTAAAAAAACTGTTGAGATTGATAGCAGAAATATAAAGTTAGTACTTTATTTGTGACAAATCCCATCCTTTCATTTGCTCATCTGTCAAAATCAATGAGACAAATATTCTGATCTTTACCTACTGAAAAATAAAGGCCTAATGATAACGCCGCTGTAAAAAAAAAGAAGCCGCTTTCATAACGAAACGTACCATTTCCTAGTCACGGATTCCAATTCCTGCCGCGAAGATTCCACTCTTACTAAACAGCTCATCACCTGACGCTCATCAAGATGACTGACACAAATCCCTGAGGATTCCAGCGAACACGAAGTCATCATTCTCCAATCACTCAACGCACCACCTCTCAGAAACCCGCCCGTATCTAAAAGAAGACACTGAAAAAGGACAAGGGCTTGTATACGGGGTGACTGTTTATTTCTAAAAAGACACTCATTTTCCAGCTGTGTGAAAAAAATGAGACTTTTTTCCTCAGTTTTTTTGTTCAGGCATTTGACATGGAGGAAATAGATGGCACGTTGCGGTTGTACCAGCTCAATTATAGCATGCGGTAGGTTCTGAAAATCCTCATTCACTTTGACGTGGGGTATGAAGTAGTTGTTACGAATAAAAAGTCTGGTTGGATTTCAAGAAAAAAACATTCTTTTGCTTTGAAGAAATTGTTCATGGGTTTGTATCATAGCGTGACAAAAAACGTGATTCTTCGTGAAAATGCCACTTTCCTGTTTTTAGGGCTATTTTTGACAGAAATGTGTCAATTATTTGCTATATCTCCGAAATTTTGGAAAGTGATTTCAAAGATATCGATTGTGGTTTGAGAAATATTGATTATGATATGAGAAATATCGATTGTGATTTGTGAAATATCGATTATGATTTGAGAAATATCAATTGTGGTTTGAGAAATATAGATTGGATTTATGAAGATAGATTGGATTATTGTGGAATTTTTTTTTCTTTCTTATTTTTCATTATTTTTTCTTCTGGTAACTTAGATATTTTAATTAATAAACTATGTGTAACTTACTAGCATTGTTTACGAACTGCAATATTGATACTTTTAAATTTTTTTTAAGTTCTGAAACATCAGTATCAGATCCCATCTACAAAGTTCGTGAGAAGGTAGTCTGGGACTGGAATATAATGTTGTTCTAAAACAGGTCAAAGCACTCTTACAAATGTTAATCTTCATTTAAAGTTTGTTTCAGTAAACTTTTGTAATCGCCTGCACTAAATAAAATGTTCATGAATTGTCGAAGCATTTGAATAGAGTAAATAGATCTAATAGTCTGATAGAATTAATAGTATAATTTTATGCACATACGCTTATAAATTTTATGAAAAAGAAATCATATTTTCTGAGCCTGTGCATTGATAATAAGAGCATTGATATTTTAATGGATATATAATGGAAATTTATAATATAATTGTTCATTAATATTGCAATAGGAAAAAACATCATTGAAAATCATCGGTATAACTTTTAATGACCTAAACGAAACACCTGAAAAGCAAACCTTATTGACTTTCTGCAGGCTTTTCTGTGGCATTTATTGAAAAGAATTTCTAAAATATAAATATATAGCCTTTAGCTGGACATGAAAGAGAAACAAAGACCTTCCCTTGCACTTTCAAAATAAGGTCCTTAAGATCAAGCCATTTCTGTAGCTTCTCTCAAGAAAAAGGAGCATCAAAATCTGTATCCCAAGTTTTCAGTATCGTCATCACTTCTACATCCATCCATATATATATATATATATCCCATATCCTCATTTGAAGGAGGAAGGATGGCTCGAGCCAAGAGCGGGATATGATCCCCTGAGCCAATGTCGCCTGCTAATGTGCCTTCTATAATCCTTGTCGAGGAACTCTGTAGAGGTGGCAAAGGACCTTAAAGGGATTTCTTTAGGATTTCTTCATTCCCGTGTAAGGAAGGAGAAATAAAAAGTAAGGAAGGCAGCTCCATGGATAGGAAAGTGGGCCGAGGGTTTTACACCCCACTCAGAGATCAGCATAATCCTCACGTCTTCTGCGATCCTTCTCCTGAAGAACTGCTTCTTCTGGAAGTGCTCCGGCACGACAGGTAAGTGCCTGATCTCACCTCACCATTCTATCGGAAAAGCCTTATAAAATGTAAAATCTTTACAGAATGTCCATTTTTGTCCTGCTCCAGAAGTAACGCCATCCTGAAATTTGTTTTTAAACCGATTTACGCTCGCTAAGGTGTAGATTGTATGTCATTATACCATGGACACAAGATTTGTTATTTTGGAAACTTATTTGATGTTTATTTTTATTTTAAGATTAGTTTCAATATAATGTTTTAATTTGCAAATTACAATTTCATTTAATTCTTTTTCCATGCATTGTAAGTTAATTCAGAATTTGAGGTTCGCTAGGTTTAATAGTTAAAATACACAATTTTTCATTTTCATAGTTTTATAATATAATGATATGACTTATTTAGGATTCATTCAATTGATTACTTGAACTATTCTAGTTTGTTTTTTGCGAAATGTTGAATAATTTGATGACTTTTACTTCACTTATGTTTGTTAGTTCCCTTAACAAATCATCATTTTAATAAGTGTAAACATAATTTTGAAGCTTAATTGGAGGAATTCTACGCCAAGAACAATTAAAAATTATATTTATTTGCACATCGTTTTTATAGCAATGAATAAGACAATTTTTTCGCATTCACAAAATGTAAAAATTTTCCAGACAATAAGTACATATTTTCAAACTACTTTTGACTAAAATATTAAATATTTCATTTAACACAAAAGAATAATTAAAATTATTTCAATGTGATACAATATGCTAAAATTATCGAATATATAAAGTAGAAAAATATATATTAGTTTTATCTATCAAATAATTTCAAAATTCTAATTTCGGAGCAATTTTTTATATTTTTTGTAGTAAGTAAAATCGGTAATCTAAAGTAAAATTAATGGCATTGGCCTGTAAATTATTAAAGCAAAATATGATATAACCTAACTATAAAAAAAAAATTTGTAAAATATGTCTGTCACACTTTTTTGTTAAACTAAGCGAAGCTATAGAAACTAAGCGTTCTGTAAAAATATTTTTAAGAAATGCAAATAAAAAATTCTCAAATTAATCAAATTTAAACTTTACTACATTATAAAACCTAATAATCCTTAAGATGATATAATAAGTTTTCATTCTAGCAATCAGTCAAGTTTTCATTCAGATCAGCAAAAGTGTTAACTTTTGCTGATCCTTTTAACGTGCTGTTTGCTACCCGGTGAGAAAACTTCTTGGAAAAAATGGTTGAATAACATTTTATTTAATTGTTATTTTACCATATTCAAACAAAACAGTCAAATAATCATAAATAAAATAGTATTCAAACTGTAAACTGTGAGAAAACTGTTTATTAACTGTTTTCACCAAATATGGTTGAACAACCAGAATTTTATCTCCTCAACTAGACCAATCTAATGAAGCCACTTAGTTTCTTACAGATTGGTACATATTATAGCCGAAGGGGCTAATCAGTCAGTCTCATGACTCCAGTGTGCATTTAAACTTCTTTTTTACGGTTTTGAATCCATGGAAGTTTAAAATATTTATAAGACAGTATAGTTTTGTATTTACAGATTTTCAAGATTTAAACGGTTTCAAAACCATAAAGTTAAAAAAATGTACTTTACCGTAAACTTTACTGTTGATTGAATGGACAGATTGCTGCCGGTTATTTTACCGTAATTGTAGAATGAAAATTCAAACAGTGTGACAGCAAAAAAAAGAACTGTAACTTTTTCGCAATCAAATCTTTAACCTAATATCAACACTATCTTTAACTAAACCAATGCTGACAAGTTGAAAAAGTAGTTTCGTTAATCCGGAGGATGCATCAGAGATTCCGAAGAACTCCTAAATATTGACCTGTCAAATGTAAGTTGGAGTGACCAATGGCTAGATTTATCCTGAGATGGAAGAACAGGAAAAATAAGCTCCAGGTATGACCTGATAGAAAATGAATGACTTTCATAATCCCTCCGCTATCCGGGAACATGGGAGATCCTCTTAATCAAAAATTCTTTCTTCTTTTCTAAAGAGAAAGTAAAGGTCAAAATTAAAATCCCTCTCCAACAATCATTACATTTAACAACAAATTATTTTTATCCAAGTGTTAGACTAATGCTATCAAATTGTTTTCATTAACTATCATTATTGTTATCAAATTAACTAGTATTATTACTTAAATTTAAGAAAATTGAAGTATGTAGTAATGAAAAATTACCATAGTACATGTAACATGCATAATACAAATATCGATTTGAGAAATGATAATTACGATCAACACACAATTTATGACAAAAATGTTCAAATTGGAGTCTAAGCATAGGCTCTGCACGAATAAAAAAATTTCAGGTAAAATTATCGTACTCTATGGTAAATCATTTTCTGATAAAGAAAAATAAATAAAAAACATTATTCTGGTTAATAAAACCAAAATATGCAGTATTTAGCCCATTCATTTAGTATGTTCGGTGTAATAATGATTTGTGTTAGGTGTCTCTACACAGAAAAAAAAATTCTGGAAAAATTACCAAACTGTAGTTGGTAAAGAGATTTCTTTTAAAAACATACGCTTTACTGGTTAATAAAACCAAATTATACGATACATAATCCATTTATTTTGTAATTTTTCCATTCATATTTTAACGGTGTACCAGAAATTCAGGTTTTCAAAATTATAGTTCTAATTAGCATACATTTAGTAAATAAATACCAAACTAATTAGTAAATTTAACTGAATAAATGGTTTTTATGCCATGCTTTCATGATAAATTTACTAAATTGTAACACATTTACAAAATTTTAAAGCAAGTTGTAAAACACTTTTTTTTTTCATTACCATATTCATTACCAAAGCACTTTGTTTAAAATTAACGAGCATTTCCGTATTCCCATACAGCCTGAAACACGGTAAATTTTACCATATTCTGGTATTTTTGACCATATTTTTTTCAGTGTAAAATTTATGTACAGTGCATGTCTGATCATAAATAAAAATGTTATTTGCTACGAAATTTGCATAAATTTGAGTTCCGAATTTAATTTTTTTTAATAGTTTAATTTTAAAATGAATTCTAGATCACGATATTTATGCATATTTTATGGCTTATAAATATACATGATACCTTGAAAAACAAATTATAACCTAATAAGAACATTTTGCATTATTGGTGATATGCTTTTAATTTCTTGAATGCAGACCATTGGCCTTAAAGACTGCCTCTAATCTTCGTGGTATGGACCCCACTAACTCTTTGGTGATATCTGGTGAAATATTATTTCTGGAAGAAATTAATGTAGATTCCAGGGAATTTCTACCATAGTTATTTTTTACTTCTTGCTCGGTGGTACAAAAGATGTTCAATCAGGTTCAGATCAAGAAATTGCGAAATTAATATATATATATATATATATATATATATATTGCCAGAATGTCATAACAGTAGCCATAAACTGTTTTCGAAAACATCCACTTAGTATAGGTTTATAACAGTATTTTTTGTCATTTACAGAAAATGTCTGAGCTAGGTATCTATGAGGGGAAAAAAATCAGTTTTAGTGAAAATATTTAAGTGGAATTATGAAACTATACGTTGATCGTGGAAGATGTTTGTTTTTTTTGTTATTAATCTCTTAAGCGAAAAATATTTTACGAATTTTCATAACAATCAAAAATTAAAGAAGAAATTTAAAAAAAAAAGAAAAAACAACTGATGATAAAATTGCAATGGTAACCGAGAAAACTATTAAATTTTAATTTAGAATCGGAAACTAAATTAGAAGCAAATCAGTTTTAATACAATAAAACATCTTATAATTGAATCATTTTTCATATTAATGTAACCCTTTGTTTATTGTCAAGAAAGAATATTGGTCGGGAAACGATCATGATGGTTAGTGAGTGAAGCGAGAAGGGGATGGATTCCATTAGTATTTCATGAAAGGAAAAAAATCTTCTATAATAAAAAATTTCATAAAATAGCAAATAAGAAAAAATTTTGTAAATAAAAATGCCTTTTTAATTTAAAAAAAGAAAATACAACCCTGCAGTTTATATTCATTGTGAAATGTAAGAAAAAAATTATTATTCAAAAAAAAAAAAACTCTATCTCTATCTTCCTAGTTTATTTAATTAAATTAAAAAAAAAACTTCTATAAAGCTAAAAAAAATTATATTGGCATAAAAATATCTATTTGTCATATTAAATTGCTACTGTAGCCCGCATAGGATTAATCACTCACGGCTCTAACTTTTCGTCGTATGTCACATTAGTATCCCTAAAATGTATTTCTCAATCCTCGCCTGTCCATTCTGCCCCTTAAATCCTTAAAAATAAATAGCCATTTGGTGATAACTCTTACGACGTGTTAACGTTATCTACTAGGCTCAGACCTGTGATAGGAATGTTGGCGACATTTTGAAAAAGAAGGTGACGAAAAAGGAATAAGTGGTAAAATGGGAACTTTTTCCTTACCTGGGCCCCCACCCTATAGCATGAAAAAAATTACCATGACACCCTACTCATAGAGAGAAGACAGAAGAGCCTTGTCAGTTATTCTTATGTCTTAATGTCGGATTTGAAGATAAGAGCCTTGTTTTAGAGATTTTTTCCCTGTTTTTGAAGATGGCACATTTCTCATGGTTGAACAATTCTTCCAGAATGAGTTATATTCGGAAAAAAAATATCTTCTTGAACAACTGAAGTTTTGTTCTTTACTTCTGTAGTACAATCTATCTTTTAATTTAGGATGATTAATTTGTGCTCCCACAATACAATGATTGGTTTAAATGCACGAAAAATTCTATTTTTAAGACACATAATTCTCAAAATTCCATCTTTTTTCAGGTATATTCTTTGGATATATATTATAAGTCTCATATAAATAATTAACTATTATTATTTTCTTAAATTTTTAGGCTTTCTAGAAACTAAATTTACTGAGAGAAAACTTAACAGTATATACAGTATAGGAGTAACAGTAGGTAATATATTCTCCGGTTATGAATTTATTATTATTATAATTATT